AATTAATTACTAGAAATAATAGTATAAAATATAGTTTTTTTAAGAAACGTTTGATAACTATTTGGTACATTATAAAGATTTCTACGTATTAAATTTGAAAATGCATAAAAGTATTTTTAATATTAAAATGAAAATTACTTTGCATGTTGGATACGCAACATGCAAAAAGAAAAACAAAGGCATGAGAAAAACACTGCTTTACAAACTTTGAGACTTAATAAAAAAATTTATATTTTGCGTATGAAATCATTGTAATGTTTACTGATAATCTGCCATTAACATACACTAATTAATTTAAAAGTTATCGCATGAAAACTATAACAAGCATAAAATGGTTATGAGGTCGGTCCCAAGGACCGAGCCCGTGCTGAAAGAGTTAATACATATTAACTCATGATGTCAGAAAAACACATAGGGTCAATAAGTCTTAATATTAAAAATAAAAACCCTATAACCCCAGTGCTTTCGAAAGGTGGACCTTTCTTCTTCAGGGGCAAAGTGGGAATTGTGGTTTAACTAAAGAATGATAAATAAAGAGAGTTGAGTAATATTATGAAGGTCACCTGGGTTTCCAGGAAGTGTTTTTGTATATTTTTCAATGTACTATTGTAAGCATGTTTCATTTATGGTACAATACAACCGGAAACGAGCGTTACGTAAAAAAGATGTTAGAGATGTTTTGCTTTAGAAATGGTCAAGAAAAACTACACTTAAGTGTTCTTAAATTAAAATAAAGGTGATACCTGAAGACTGACTGAAACATTGAGCATATCAATTTCTAAAGACAGGCATAGAAAATTATCGTAAATAAGTATTAGAAAGTTTAATGATATTGGTAATGTAATAGTCAACATTCTGGTCAAATTTGTAAATTCTTTGGTATAGTTGACTGTAAGGAGGATGGTGTCACCTTGATGAAAATCAAATCAACAGTGTTATGAAAGAAAATAATCTTGATGTTTTAACCAATCAGTCTCTTAAGCCTTCCAAGCAGTATGTTGTTGCCTGTGTGAAAGAAAATAGGATTTTGGACTGTATCTATAGAATATAAGACAAGAGAGGTTATTGTGTCTTTGTAGAAGTCATGGCTAGACTTCATTGTGTGCAGTCTTAAAGCTTCTTATTTTAAGGACATTGAATTGTTCAAAACAGTTTAATGGAGAACTACTAGTACTAGGATGAATCCTGGGATGGAGTGGCTCTCAGTCATATAAGGGCAGGTTAAGCTCCTTAAAAATTTTTCTTGAGAAAAGAAATACTGGAGAGAGAGGTGTAACCAAGACTACAGAGTGACAGGGGGGTCCTTTTTTTAAAAAAAAAATTAACTTTTTACTTCTATACAAAGAATTTAAGTTACATAAAACTTTAGTATGAAAAAAAAAACAGAAGACAGTGGACTTTTAGGTGTTTTAGAACATTGGGGTAGCCATTCAACCCTTTTAGTTTTAGTAAGGATATGACTATTTAAAATTAAAATAATAACTAGAATAGACAGGAATGATGCATCACCTTTTTTCATGTTTAATGGTAAGGATGGTAGGACTTGGAGAAAGATTTAAGATTTGGTAGGGGTAGAAATAATCTCCAAATAAGGTACTTTTATTTTTCAGAAAGGTGGTCAGCTTTTGGAAAAGAATGCATTCAGACATGGTAGTACAGAGGTATGTATTACATTCTATAGCATTCACAGAAGATATAGGCCTACAGATTACCCCAGGCTTTCCCAGAAGTAGAATAGATCTTGGATTCAATTATCATATTTTTCTCAGAATAGGTACCATTAGGACAACACAACAAAAAGATAATTAAAAAAATAGGTAAAGGAAAAACCTTCCACAACTGCTTTTCTTGTAAAGACTTATCCCATATCATATGCTCTTTAGGTTTACGCCTTTGTATCCAAGCACAAGGAAGCTTAAAACACCTGTAAAAGTGTAATCACACAAAAGGTTAAAATACTTAGAAAATAATTCCTAGAATGTTATTACTAATACTGTAATAGTAATATTAGTATTACTCACTAATAGTAATAGCATTAACATTATAATTAATGGTATAAAATGTTAATGCTATTAGGTCTAACTCTAACCAAGTGAAAAATAGTATTACTAATGCTGTGACTCATAGTTAACAATAGTTGATAATCATTAGCCTAAAGTAGGCTAAACTTAAGGCTTAGCTAAATTTACAAATTAAATTTTGGATGTCTAACTGAAGCTAAATTAAATTACAGTGGAATCATGACAACACTTGGTCATAATTAATTACCTTGATTAGTTTTCAGAAAACGAGTTATCGTGTGTGCTGCCCAACACGTAAAATAAATACATATAGTCTTTACAAATTATAAAATATTTTCCAAAGCAATATAACTTAGTTATTTCAAGTGCAAGTACTCGTACTCACTACCCGAATATCCCTAACGCGATACTGATTGTGTAGCAAATTCTCCGTATCGCAAGAAAACCTGGTAATAGCTGTTAGAAGACGTGAATTTATTAAGCAACACAAACAGTACTCTGTAATTGTTCATCTTCTATTCATTAAATATATTTATATACATTTTAGCGAATAATTTTATTTGCTTGAATATTTTTAAATCGTTCTGAAATTAGTAATTTACCATAAATTACATGGTGTATATTGTATACATGGATTTATTCCAATTGGAGTGAATTTCGCATAGTTAATAAAGTGAAAATAACAATTCGTAAATGTTCTTTATTACCTGAATTATAGTATCTTAAATATTTTTCTATCGAAAAAAGTATCGTAATAGAATATATTTTTCGTTAATAGTGTCCTAATTCCATTAGCTTTTGACTATTAAAAATAATGATAAGCGGTTTTTAGCTTTCAAATATTTTGTACAACAATGCATTATTTTGTATATAGTATAGTTATTCCTGTTATTCTAACTTTCAATAGAGCTGAGATTTTTTAATTTGCTTATAACAAAAATCTGATTTATTTCTATTATCAAATACTTTTGCGTATTTACTTGTATGTTTGATACCACGTTTTCGTCAATGTATTATCAGAGCAGATGTTAAATTACCCGCTTGTGACGAAACAGACCATCATCAAACATCGTCAGACGTTATCTTTGTGATATAGTTAAAACTTAAGTTAAGTTTAATAATTCGTGTAGATAGGTGGATTGAAAGCTGTAGAATCTAACCTAATGTTTATCATGGACAATGTAATAGGTTAATTTCAAATATTTGTACGTATCACCCCCAATAAGGTAAATACTTATATAATATAGTGCAGAAGAAACTTTTACTTTTAGTGTACGTTTTGTTTGTTAATTTTAAAATTTAATGTAAATAAATAAGAACCACTACCACTGAGTACCAGTAAGATGATAGTTGATACTACTATTCAGTTTTAGTAATTTTACTACTAGTAGTACTAGTTCAGTAGTTGTTACGATGAAATCAGATCAAGTCTCGATACCAACTACTCAAAACAATAAACCAAGGTAATTAAAGTGTAGCTCATTTCATAGTTATTTTTTATTTACATTACTCTTTACTTACTCCCCTCCATTACAATTTTGTTTCACTGAAATTGTGCCTTGTTAATTATTTGTATCTTAGATTGTCTGTTCATTTAGCCTATTATCTGTGTAAGGTGTCATCATTCAGGTAAACAAACGAAAAAGCAACAAAGGAAGTATAGCTCCATTAAACTATCTGAGTTATAGTTAAAGGTTTCCATAGCCTTAAGTTATTGCATCTGTTAATGTAATCATGCACTCATTTCGGTGATTCAAACTGAATTATATACATATATGTATGTACTTAAGCCTAAGAATTATAATGATTGTTTCTTAAAGCACTAAGAATCAAATGTTATTTGTTAAGTTTTCATATATTTAAAATTTTCCAATACTAATCAACCTACCATTAAACAAGTTTATGGTTCATTAAACAAAACTATGCTGCTGAAACATATTAGCCTCTTACCATTAATATTTAATTGTAGTTCATATTTCCAGCTTTTTCATTCTAACACTTGAAAAATTAAAGCTCCCATAAAAAAGATCCATTTAATTTTGAATGTTTGAAATAATTCATCTGTATTTAATGATTCTCAGCATGATTTTTAGGAAGAGGTTTTCTTTTTTAAAAAATTAAAATCTAAAGTTTGACTATTTATTTATTAACTGACAAACTGTATGAATTTTAATTCTATTAGAGACTGGAATATTTGTCATAAAATCACTTTTCTTTAGTGGGTGTTTGAGTTATGCACAACCGAAATGTTTTCAGATAAGGACAGATTAAGATTTCTGAAGTTTTTTTCCTTGACAAAAGAACAAGAGTTATAGAGGATCTGATTGTTAAGGTTGTTCATAATTTTTATGTATCATCTTTTTTCATACTTAATGGTGAGAATAGAAGACACAAGTTTTGTCAAGATAAACATCATTTTTGTCTAAGACATTAATATTTTTCTAACAGGGTAGTTGGCCTTTGGAATGATGCTGGCTGAGTTTGCATGTTTTATTTTCATTATAAAGTTTAGATTAGTGAAGTGATGGTCTAGGTGAGCCAAAAGGTCCCTCATTATCCTTTGATTATATGTATGTTGTGATAAATTGTTTATTTAACAGTTTTATGAAAGTTTTACTAGAAAAAAGTAATAAGTGAAAAATAATTAATTTCCTAAGTTGGTTAAAAATTTAAAAAGTATTGTAATGATCTCAGATGATCAAGTGTTTACATATATATCTTGTGGCCATTTCTTATGCTGTAACAGTTTAATCAAATCATCTATCTTTTCTTTTAGGAAGTAGAAGTATGGCAGCTTCCAGTGTCATAGTATTGCTTAAAGGTGATCACGATGAGAATGCAAAGGATCCATATTCAGAAGTGAGTGTTTTTTTTTAAGTGGTATTAAAAAAATAGTCATGTGATTTATAAATTCATAGTTTTAATGTTTTGGTTGGTGAATGTTGGCCTGTCACTTTGCTCATTGGAACATTTGATATTAAGAACAGCTTTAGGTAAGAGCTTTGTGGTGTTATATTGATCAAAATATCTTGAAGTTGTATTCAATCGTTTTGCTTAGTTTTGTTGGTTTGAAAAGGTTGACATTCGTCACTTTGTAGGTTAATAATATAGGAATCATATATAGAAATATAAACAAAGTGTAATCCTACTAATTACTGCTGGGGTTTCTTGTGTATCTCAAATACAAAATGGGGGATATTAATCAATTTTGTTGGGCCTGTTCTTGATGTTGAGTGTTGTAACAGGCAAAAAACATAAAATTATTCAATAATTATATGATGCAGTATATAAAGAAGTCTGTATATGTATTTCAGTACAACTGATGTGTACACTGTACATCTTAAGTAGGTAAATTATTTTTTTAAGTAAATGTTTGGTTCATATAGCTAATGAATTTTTTACATAGATGATTGGTATTATTAACAATAATGACAAATGGTGTCTTTTGAAATTCTCTTTTTTTTTTTCACAGTCATTCAATACTTATAAAAAAAGAGGGAATCCTCAATAACCACAGCACTTGAAATTCTTTTAGACAGAATTAGAGTAAATTAATCTATGAAACCTTTTTTTTTCCTTTTTATTAGATATATTTTTGTGCTCCAGTAATACCAAGCATGGGGCATGCGTATAGCTGATTCGATTTTTACCTATGAGACCTTGGACGTTGTCAATTACATAAATCGAAAGGGTTTGACCTCCTGAGTTCAAAACTGTAATTAGATCTCAAATTGGTCAAGAGATGGTGGAGTTATAAGC